TAATTTTGAAAAATGGAACAGCACAAACGGATTTTAAAAGAATACAGTTATGCATGTGCATTGCCATGGCGACGGAATTGCATATGTAATATATATAATTATATAAATATATATAAATAATATATATATATTATATAATTTTAATTACAAAATTGAAAATTGACAGAAAGGTAAAACTTTAGAATGTATTGGTATTTACATAAAATTAATTGATAAGAGTCTTATGTAGTCATTTAATCATTCTACTTCACATTGTTTTTGTAATTGAAGCAATTTATGTAAGCAGTAATATAACCTGTTTAGTTAATTCATAAAATAAACTAAGGGACATTTACTTTAAAGTCATTCACCTTTTTGATCATATGGTAAAATGAACTAATTGATATTTAATTTGTTTTCCATTTAGTTTCATGATACTGTGTTTTTGTTTTGTATATTACTTAATAATTTTACAATCTCTACAAAACTGCTGGTATAAATTAATATAAATTACCTTAACTAGACATAAATACCAATAAACCAGCAAAAATAAAAGAAAGAAAAAAAAACAACAAATGTTTTCTTCCATTTTAAAGGTCATCTTCAGGTTCAAAAGATACAGATATAAACAAATGCTGTGTACATATTGTCTACTTGGACTTTGTTTATTAATAGGACTTATACTGGTGAAGTTTCTGATTAGCAATATCAGGAAATCTTGGTCAAAAGTCAAAACAAATTATCTTTATTTTCACCTGTAAAAATAAAACTATTTTGTCTATAAAAATAAAGCTATTTTGTTTTGACTTTTTACCAAAATTTCCTCATATTGCTAATCAGAAACTTTACCAGTATATCAAGTCCTATTAATAAACAAAGTCCAAGCAGACAATATATACACAGAATGTAAAAAATAAGGACAAAAAGGCAAAAAGAATAAACAAATACATTTTAAAAAAATAGAACAGAAATTTGAAGTTTATTTTATTTTTGCTGGTTTAATGGTATTTATGTCTTGATAATTTTGATTATGACAAAAATAAGGATCAATTTTCTTGCTGTAGGATGCCACTGTTTGTTATTTTTGTATAAATATTTTTTCAGTAATTATATCATAAAGTAAACAGATTAATATTTATTATGTTATGCAATTTTTTATATCCAGCAATTCAGTATAAGTATAGCATTATTTGTTAGTTCATAAATTACACTATTTGTTATTTACTTTGTTATTCATTTCATGACAAAAATGTCATGAAATGAATATTCCAGGTTTATAAAATTTTAAGATAAATTTTATTTCATTATCTATATTGTTATATGCTGTTGGTTTTGGTTATGAAGAAATTACCATTTTAGTCAATTAATTATATAGGAAAAAATGCTAAAATGAATACCAAAATAAATATTAAGTTTTCTATTTAATTAGTGTTTATATTTTAATTATTTCTTTTTAGCAGATCCTCCCCCAAAAATCATGCTCACCATTTTTTAAATCTCCAAAACGTAGCTTATTTCCTGACTGTTGGTACAAGAACAAAAAGTTTAAAATGCCTTTGCTCTTGTGAATGAAGGTAAACAATTTTTAATGCATTGCATGCACAATCATTTTCAATTACATCAGATGCACCAATCACGTACATATCACATTGAAAAGGGATTATGAAGTAAATAAGTGTCTTTTAATATACACTGATTAATATATTGTATTACTAAAAAGCTTTTTAATCAAAATATGAAAAGTCTTAAAAAGCTTTAGATTATTTAATATTAAAACAACTTAAATGACTAGCTAAAACAGATTTATTAACATACAATTTGATTACATAAAATTTTATTTTTAACTTTTAAATATATTCCATAAATAATACTTCATCAATTTTAGATCTAATATCAGATACAATTTTTTAAAATGTTTAATTTCTGTAATGAAAATTTTATAAACAAATTGAATACAAACTAAAGAAAAATTTTTTAAAATAGATTCTAAATGTGCATTAAACCTTAAATTTTAAAAAGAATAAATTTCAAATATAAAATTTTTTGGTATGATCTGTTTTTTTATAGATCAAAAAAGTTCTGTAATTATCAGAGAAGAGAGAATTTTGTAAACAACTTTACCAAAAATAAGTTTGCAAGGTCCACAGATCAAGCATGATGTACCAAAATCAGATTTTTTATTAAAAAAGTAGTAGAAGTTCTTTTTATTGAAAATTAATGTCGTTCTAAATTTCATTTGTACATTACATTACATTACATTCATTTTATTGTGATGTTCAACCCATGACATGCAATTAGAATAAACAGCAACATACAATATAAAAAAAAATTTATTTAATTCAAAGCATTTAGAACTAAACTACTAAAAATGATTTATAACCAGGATATTTTCTATTAACTTAAAGGAAGCTTTATGGGGAAAGATTATGGAACAATGATTATATGCAGAAATGAAATTTAAAAAAAATTATTCTTGTGAGGAATGTACTATTGGTTTCACATAACCAATTATAAAATGTCAAAAATAAATTGGAAAAACTAAATATTCAAAGAAAATAAATTATTAATTAATGAAAAAAGTAATAATTAAAAAAAAAAAAAATTAAATCTAAAATCAAACTCAAATATTGCAAATGATTTTTAAATTGAATATTATTGTTTAGAGATTTCATGATACATGAAGTTTTAAAATAAGTGTTTTTATCAGTATAAAATTTATTAAATTACAATTAATAAATATTTTATGGCATTTTCACATGTAATTTAGTATATATTTTACTATTAGTATATGTACTTATATAATTTGAAATTACTTCTAAAGACAATATTGTTATTTATACATATATACATATGCAATTCCAAGAAGAAATGAGAAAATATCTAGTGTCAGATTAAGTGTTAAAGTTTACACATTTAACAATTGAAGCCATGTGTAACTGTATATATTTGGATTGGTTTGAAATGTCATTATTCATGAACAAACACACATTCAACTTAATCTAATTATGATTTAATAAAAATCACTTAAATTATCATATTCAAATGTTTGCATTTAGAAAAGTTAATTAATGTCAACAATATCATAATTTGTTTGATATAAAAGTTATATCATGTTGATTTAAATTTAAAATTTTACAATTATGAATATAATTCAAAATTATAATAGTGTTTTATTAAAGCTAGATGAATATGAATGCTTATGTTGATAAATCCCAATAAATTGAGAAACTTTCTTAAAGTGGTGCACTGCATTCACCTTAAGGATTGCAAATATCAGGGTGATAAACTAAAAAGAAGATTGGCAATTACAAGATTAGTTGAGCAAATATAAGAAATATGAAACTTATATACTCTCTTGTTTGATAGTTTATAAAGTATTTGTTTCTGATTATTATTCTTTTGAATAAAAATGATTATCATCATTTCTGTTTTATTTTTAATAATATATATTTTTTCTTCCATAAATATTGATTATTCAGAAAATCAGAATTATTCAAAATATTTATTTGTTTTGTTGTTAATAGTTATAAATATACAACAGATATTAATTAATTGAAATGGTTAACATTTTTAAAACCAAAAATAAAAATGATCACGCAAGCCATTAGAAACAAAATGAAATAGAAATGAAATACAAAATTTAATACAAATGAAACTACTCTTATTGAATTCATTATATCAAGAAAGAAAATTAAATTTATTAAATATCTTTCATTTAAAAAAATATTGATTTATTTATTTTTACAAGAATGCTAATATTCATTCAAATGAAAGCTAAAGTAACATTTCATTATTGTTATTTAATAAAACATTATATTAAATCATGAAAAAAAGGAAGAATTCTTACCTGCAGCAGTACTTGGTCTAATTTTATTACTTTCTATTTTTTCTTGTAAACGACATGATTTTTCATGTAATTGAAAAAGTAATACAGGACAAAGTTTAGTCACAGCTGATGTAATAGTAGTAGTTTCTGTTTCATGTAATAATGATGTTAGATCTTTTGTTGACATACACTGTAAATAAAAATAATTTAAACAGATTTGAAATGAATAAAATTACATTTTAATGCAATTTAACTTTTTAAATTAATAAGGACTTCTTTTAATTTGAAAAAATGACAAATGAACACACTTTTTTCATTAATCTGTTCAAGCATTATTTAAATTTTATGAAGTCTGATCATTTTCAGTCATTTCACTTCATTATTTTGAATAATCTCAGATTTATAATTTCTATTAAAATATTTCTTTATAAAAGCTAAAAAGAATTTTTAACATAAGATAAAAATTATAAATTACTATTTTTACCAATATTGAACTATATCTAATAAAATAAAGTTATATTGGCCTTATATGCACAATATATTTAAATAGAAAGAAATCATCATGCAAAATGGTACAATAAAAACAAGATGTTGAATATGCTATGCTAGAGAAAATCTAAAATGTCAAACATTTTATGCACCGCTAAGTATCAAACATTTGCAAAGCATCAAATTTAACCATTAACATAATCCAAATAGTCAATTAATTTAACTACCATCTCCATATATTTTAATGATGATGTTTATTATTCAAACTATATCAACCCCCTTAACTTCCCAGGAATAAAAATCTAATAACAAAACACTAACATTTTTAGATATTAAAAAAAAAAAGAAATAGATAAAACATACAGTTTACAAAACAAAAACTTATATGAACTTTAGAATGTTTAAATTCTTTATTAGTTTATTACTATTTTAAATTTTATAATTTAAAATAACATAATAACAGCCTACTGAAGATTTTTTTTCTACTATATATAAAAAGAATGAAATAATAATTATATGTTCTATAATAATAATAAAATACATCATATAGTTTTCTTTTATCAAATTTATGTAGATCTACATACATAAAACTATGCAAATATAAAATGTTTGGTATAAAAATAATTTATCTCCATAATATATATTATTAAAACAATTTGACCATACAAATAATTCTGGGTCAGTTCAAATCTTTTTTAATATGCCAACTAGAGACAGATGAACAACATGTACCTCAGAAAACACCTTTAATCGATGCGAAATAAAATTTAACACTACAAATGTTTTCAGACCCCTCCTGGGTCCTTCAGGTAAAATATCGTTTAAAACATTACTAATTAGCTAAATATGAAAAAAATATTCATTCCAAACAAATGTTTTTTCGTATTTAGTAATGTTCAAACGATATTTTACCTGAAGAACAACCCAGGAGGGGTCTGAAAACGTTTGTAGTGTTAAATTTTATTTCGCATCGATTAAAGATTTTTTCTGAGGTACGTGTTGTTTAGTTATCTCCGACGTGCAGTTGATCGTTATTATTACTAGAGACAGATGGTTAACAACTTTAAACATTGATGATATGATATTAAAAAACACATACAATATACAATTGATGTCGACCTTTTCTTTGAGGTTCCGCTGTCAATGACACAGCATTAAAATTTTTCACTACATCACTCAGGTAAATATCTGTTTTATTTACACACATCTGTAGACCTCTGATGGAAATCTGAGAATGTGATATTGTGAAAAATTTTAATGTGTTGTTGACATCAGATTCTCAAAGAAAAGGTCAACATCAAATGTATATTGTATGGATTTTTTTAATATCATATCGTCAATGTTTAAAGTTGTTAACCATCTGTCTCTAGTTGGAATATTAAAAAGGATTTGAACTGACCCAGAATTATTTGTATGGTCAAAATTGTTTCAAGAACAGTATTAATCCTTGGAATTTTACAATTTATGTAATAAAATATATTGTTTTGCTATTAATTCTCAAATCTTAAACTTTTATTAAGATTTATATAGATGTTGTTTAACACTAAGAAATTGTAAAACAGCTCAATACTGCTATTTTAAAAGGTTTATTAAACTAAGAATTTTATTATTATGAATTATATATATATCAGATAAATGACTATTTAAAACACATGCATGGTGTTAAATGTAAGCTAAAAAAACAAATGCAGGTAATATAGTTTTGATGTGTTACTTGAACCATGCCTACCTACCAACCTAGCTGATTGTGCAAAAGAATATCACAAGGAGGAGGAGGAGAAATCAACTAACTTGCAGTATTAGACAAGTTAGAAGTAACTTAACTGCAGAAAGCTTGCAGTCAGCTAAAAAGAAAGCTGAGTTGTCTACTGATCTTCATTTAGTGATATCATTTCTACCAGAATCTGCAAGAAACTTGCATTCAGCTAGATTGGTGGATACAGTTCTAGTGAAAAATCAGCAGTAGTCTAAAAAATATAATGGCATCATATAAATTACTATATTACAATGATTACATTGAAATTTATTGTAATATGTTAAAACAGTAAAAATATTAAATTTTTGAAACAGAAACCTTAAAAAATATTATTTTTAAAAATAATAGATAATAAAATTCTTATAAAAACTGAATCTAACTATTTTCTTAACAATTTAACATTTTAACAACAGAACATTTGAATATTTTACCGTTAAATTTATAACAAAAATATTAGATAAATTAACAAATAAATAATACAATAAAATATATCAAATAAATTAAAACAATAACGATATAAACAATATAATAAAATAAATAAAATAAAACAAAAAACATAAAAATGCATCCAAGTATAAGGGCAGACACTGACTAAGAGTTTTTATATTTTTTCTCTTAGGTAGAATTTCCATGCATTTTTTCTTAACAAAATAAAATAACTTACTGGAATGTAATTAAAACATTCCAGTAAGTTATTAAAAGCTCCGAAACATTATCCTTGAAGATAATGAAGTTATGACCGTGATGGATTTTAAATCTTTATTTTCATCTATAAAATTACCGCCTTGTTTTTGCGAGCTGAGAGACTTCCTTCTTACTAACATTAATAATGCAACGAAGTACCACCAACATATTTTAGAGCTTGCATACCTAATTTGTTATACTTCGTTTTTTGCATTTGAAGGGAACACATATTTACAAGAAAGAGGGGTTCCAATGGGAAGTCCGATATCTCCGTTATTATGTGAGCTAGTATTACGGCGATTAGAAAGTAATATTCTGCCCGTCTTTATAAATGACATACTTGTATATGCAAGATACGTTGATGATGTTTTCATCATTTGGAGGAATAATAATAGCGCTCAATATTTCCTTAACAAAATGAATAACAACCCGTATGGTGTAACTTTATCATTGGAACAGATAAGTGAAATTAACGTAAATTTTCTGGATCTGTCCATAACTTGTAAATATGGTGAAATATGGACAAATATTTATCGAAAGCCTAGCTATCTTCCTATTATTATACCGAAGAATTCCTTTGATCCTCATAATTTTAAGAATGCAGCCTTTCGATCATGGATAAAGCGGGCCTATACCCATTGTACGAGTATGGTTGACACACACAGAGAATTAAATAACATACGTACAATAGCTGTACAACAGGGATATCGTATAAGTGAAATTAATGCTCTTATTGATAAATTTTGTAATCAAACAAATAAGCAACCTACAACTAAGAACCAAGGACGAAGAGTAGTTCTCAACTATATTCCTTTCCTTCAATCGATGATTAAAAAAGTATCTCAAAAGAATAATTTAAGAGTTACCTATCGTCGTAATCCGACGATTTATAGAATTTTACGAAATGACAAGAAGAAAGGAAACAGTTACAATACTACAGGAGTTTATTCTATTCCATTAAGTGATCGCCGTTTTAATTCAGAGCTAGTTTACGTTGGTGCCACCATGAGACTTTTAAAACAGAGGATTAAAGAACATAAATATTCTATTACTAAAAACGTGGACAGCACCGTCCTTGCAGCCTTTGCTAAACATCAAGATATTAATGTACATTGGGACAAAGCATCTATAATTAGGACAGCCACCAACAAACAAGTCCTTAAACATATTGAAAAACTTGAAATTTACAAGGCGCATATCAACAAAGGATGCATCAACCATAGAGACGCAGAAAGTCTATCCTGCGCATGGAAATCTTTTTACCATGACGATTAATTTTTATTTTTTAATTTATTTTAATTTAATTTCATTCGTTACCACGATTAATTTCTTAATATTTATTTATTTTTATGTTTTATTTACGTTTTACGTAATTAATTTTAATTTTTTAAACCGTTGTATAGCTTACATTCTATTTTAAGTTCGTTTTCCGTTTTAAAGTTCTTAACTGATGAAGACTATTAAATATAGTCGAAAACGTTTTTAAATTTATTAAATATGTTGCTGGAAATAGTAAGGTGGTTTGATTATTTTTTTCTTAACATTCTTGAAAAAAAATTGTCATTCATTCAAATAAATTTTTGTTGATTTATAGTTAATTAAATAGAAATTTTAATTAATGAATTCATTTATCACAATTTAAATGATATTTTATCAATTTAAAATAATTTTTAATACTATATAATAGAAAAAAGTGAAACAATGCTGTTTTATATAAATTGTTTGTTTTCAAAGTATACAATAACAGTTTCATGTTTTAAGATATAAATTTACTGGTGATAATTACATTTATTATAACAGACAATATACTTTAAAAATGTGTGTGTGTGTGTGTATATGTAGACATATAATTTCATAAAAAGTAACCATTATAAAAATTACAGTAAAAAGTACTTGATCAATTCACATTTCTATGCGTCATTACATGCTGCAGCTGTATCAGTCATAAACTAGATATAGGTTATTAATGTTCTACATAGTATTGAATTTATTTCACCTATATTTGCTAGATAATTAAATACAAACAAAACCTTTTATCCAGCAACAGAACTTTAACTTCTGTTACTGGATAAAAAGTTTTGTTTGTATTTAATTACTCCATAATTTGTGAAGAACATAGTTATAATTTGCTAGATAACTGCTTCTAATACAAAATATTATTATTATTGTTATTTTGTATTAGAATATTAGAGAGATGATAATATTTTGTATTAGAAGCAATTCTACAAGAAACTTGGAGTCAACAACATTATTATTGTTACTATTATTACTAAAGTTATAAAATTTTAATTTTTAATAATATGGTTTAATTTTGTAAAATTAATAATAAATTTATGCCATCATACTTTCATATTCATTGCTCAAAAAAATATATATTTAAAAGCATATTAAATAATGTATATGTTACCAAATATAAATAAAATTTACATCAAAAAATATTAATTATAAAAATATAAAGTATATCTGAATAAATATATTATACTGTACCAGAGGCATGCGGTAACATTTGATGATAGGGAAGCTGTGCTGGGCCTGGATAGAATCATTGGAAGCGTTATATGATATTTTGGTGTGGTACAGGTGTGTTTATGTCGCTTGGAAGTTCTTCAAGTTTTGTGTTCTCTATTGTATATCTTCCTTATTGATGTTCAACATTTGTTTAAACTGTTTGTTACCTGTTTATCTGTATCCACAAGTGGTAGTGGGCTTTGTACACAAATTTTGTATTCATGTTACCAATCTGTACTCAATCTTTTATTACATTTTGTTGGTTTTGATAAATAAAAAATAAATATAAAATGTTGCAGGTGCCCAGGAGCCTTTTCCTTCATCCCCTTTCCTATCTTTCTTTATACTTCATCTTTGTCTCTTCTCTAAATATTACTTTTCTCTTCATTTCACACCCAGGCAATACCTGTGAGAAGTCCCAGGTCTTCAATCCCCTTGGTGCTAGAAGAGTAGCATCCACCAGCTAAACCGTGTGAGGTTGGTGCTCTGTATAGCACATGCACAAATGCATATATAATGTGGCTGCTTTACACCATTCAAAATATTTTTGCTGTGGAAGCTATTCTGTATTCAACAATACAGCACTTCCATTGGGAATATGCATATATGAATTTATATTTGAATATACAATAGCAATCTTATCATTTTTTTTCACATGTAGTATAGAAATTTGTAATAAGCTACATAATGCAATTATAATAAAATAAGTTTAATTAATTCAAAGTATGTTAAAATATGAAAATAATCACACAATATGTATTTATATTTTAGAAAATACAAGGGAAGTGGCACTTCCACAGCTTCCATGAACAGCACACCACTGTACTCTACTAAATTCTAAACATCTTAATACAAAATTTTCAATAATTCACCTATTTTTTATCATTGTAAAATATTTTTCAAAACTCAATTCTTTTGCCTTTTTAATAAGAAAATTTACAAATTAAACTGCACTTATTCACTCTTAGAAATTGACACTAAAATTTTAAAGTTAAATTTTTCAAGTCAATATATTTTTGTTTTAACATGATGATAATATGATTATGATTTAATTATCATTGAATTACAGTTATCATAATTTCACAATTAATACATCAGATTATTATAAACTGATATATTAATATAATCTATAATTTGTTGCAATTTTAAGATGAACTCTGTACAATTAAAAAGATTTCAATTTATAAACAAAAGGATTTAACAAGAGATTTTTTATTAACATATTGGTCATGAATTATTTTTTTTTTAGTTCTTGAATTTCATGATGTTAATCATAATAATTTAGCTAATAAACATAGCAATCATAAATAATTTCCTCTTATTTGAAAAAAAATCAAAATTAATTTTGTTAAGATAAGATTCATCATCATAAAATAGGCTAATTATGTTATGGATACGTTAAATGCTTGATAAATACTGGATTGGCACTGTATACTGTATCCAAATATAATGTTATCCAAATAATTATGTTATGGATACGTTAAATGCTTGATAACTACTGGATTGGCACTGTATCCAAAATAAATACATGAAAATATTTAATATAGATTTCATCACATCTTCAACTCCTTTCCATCTTCTTACCTATAAAAATGTAGCAATCAATAAATTATAGTGTGTATTTATTATCTAAGGATAGTGTCTGAAGGAGTTATTGTAAAAATGATCTGCATTTACAAAAGCATGTTATATATTAAAGTTAACATTCAAATTTTTATAAAGTCTTAGAGATGTTAGCAATGTGTACCATGAAGGAATAGCCTAACTGGGTATTTACCTAGTTAGTATATTCCAGTTAGGCTATTCTGGAGTTTATTCTTTACCTTAGTCCAATCAAAAAGTTGCAGTTTCTATATTTTGTAGGCAGGAGGCAGAAAAAAGTTAAAGTTATGATAATAGGAATCAAGTTAACTATTACTTAATTTTTAATTATACTCTTTCCATATGACCCCAGGACATCACAGAATATTTTGTAATGACAGAAATTTACTTTTAAAAAATCTACAGTATATTAAACAAATTAAAATCTTAATATTTGAACTGTAAAGAAATTATATGGCTCAGTTATATTAAGTATCACAATTGGAAATAATTGCTATTGATTAATTTTTAATTTACATTGAATTTTTCATTTTAGTTGATAACAGACTATTGAATGCCTTTCTAAGGAATTACAATGCATGTTTGGAGATGTATCAACAAAAATTTGCTATGTAATTATTTAATTCACAAAAATAACTGTCTTGGACTCTTTCTTAGAACTAATTTAGGCAAAAAATTCCAACTTGCTGTTTATATGAGAAACTTTATATACCTGTATTAGATGCAAATCCATGTAATTGTCTAACTTTAGGTTTCCCAGAACATATAACTTTCTTACATTACTTTGCAATGTAAGAAGGTAATCTATTAATTGGCTTTATTCTAAAACTAACTTAGTAGTCATCTATTGCTCTTTTCTTCCTGATGTAATTATTTTTAAAAATCCTGATGTATAAAATATTTTATATTTTTTTTATTAATGTGTTATAATATAACACTTGTTATAATTTTAAGTATTTTATTTATTTTTCATGTTTACAGTTGTAATTTTCAAACAATCTTTTTAAATTTAACATAATGTTCTTTCCAATATTACCTGATAATGTTAACCATTACAAATACTATCACAACTTAAGTTTACCATTTGTATTGTGCTCTATTACTTCAATTAAAAAAATTAATTAACATGATAACAGTCTTCCACCTTATTTGCATTAAATAATTACACAGCAAATTTTTGTGGAAACATTTCCAAATATGCATCATAATTCTCCAGAAAGGCATTGAATAGTCTGTTATCAACTAAAATGAAAAATTGAATGTAAATTAAAAATTAATCAATAGCAATTATTTCCAATTGTGATACTTAATATAACTGAGCCATATAATTTCCTTATAATTCAAATATTAATATTTTAATTTGTTTATAAAATGTTATCATTAAAGCGTTCACTAACTTAAAAAAAGTTACTTTAATCACCAATAATAAAATCAGTTACATTTATATTTCTATCAGTAAGGTTCAGTTTCACAACATTTATTCATTTCTACGAAGTAGGAAAAAGATTGAGTTGTTGTCTAAAGTATGTTGTAAGCTAATCTTGCAACATTTAATGCCATATTTAATGTAACCAGAAATAAATATAAACTAACTAAATTTTATGTAAAATTTTGATATACACCTAATTTATAACTTTTACATAAAGAACTAATTCAAACTATGTACAGGCGATCCTCTATTTTTGTACCTAATTGGTTCCTGAAATGTGTATGAAAATTGCAATGTACGAAAATAGAGCAGTGTAAAAAAAAACATCAAAAGGGTTTTCAAAATATTTATTTTTTATTAGTTTCTGGTGTTTCCTTTATAAATTTGTCAAGAGTTAATTGAACTGTACTCTTCTTTTTCTTTTCTTTATAAAGGGTTCTGTAATATGCTGTGTCTTTTTATATTTGTTCTTCCGACTTGAGATATGTACTCTCCATTAGAATCACATCCTTCCACAATGGTAAAAAATGTTTCAAAATGCATGAAGGCTAACTCAAGACATCCCTGCTCAATACTGAACCCGTGATGCCAAAAATGGACATGATTAATGATTAATTTCGGAGATGAGGAGGGACTAGTGGATAATAGTTCATGAGAAGGGGAGAATAATTTCACAAAAGTATGCACATTTTGCCATATACGTTGATAAAAATTAAAAGTACAAAATAGTGAATTGTACGAAAGTAGAATGTAGAGGACCACCTGTTAATTTAATCAATGATATCATTAAAATATTCAAACTTGTGATGTCAAAAGATTTCTAAAAATTATGCCGTAGTTTAGAATTTTTTTTGTTGTTTTTTGAAACAAAGTAAATATAATAATAAATATTTATGAGCAAATTTACTTATAATTTAATAGTAAATAAAACTACAAATAATTTTATTTGTAATTTCTGAAATTCATTCAAATTTATAAGGTTTCATTCAGACGTAACCTGTAAGATCACTTTAATACTCTCAATTCCTAAAATATACTGTATATCAAACTACACATTTATTTATAAAAATACAATACTTAATTCATTAAACTATTCAGTTTATAATATACAATTTGAAAAGTATTTTTAGTATAACACTGATTTATATAAACACCCACAATTTCATAATTTCTTTTTTAAATCTGTAATTTCTTTTCTAAATGCTATAAAAAAACATTTTACAAACTTAATAATATTTTTTTACATAAAAGTTTAATTTCTAAAATTGTCAATGAAATATAAGACTACACTAACTATTATAGTATATACAAAGGTATATTTATAATTACAAAATTCTGATTAATCCTTACCTTGGATGTCATTATTCGGTTACAAATATCTTTGGCATTACTGTCCTGAAGGGAACAATTCATTTGTTCGGCATGAACATCCAGATTTCTTAAAGTGAAAATTAATTTGTCGAGGACAGACTGTAAATCTTTCAAATTAAACAGTCCAGTCTCGTTATTATTCGATAGGAATTCGGGATAATATTTTGCTATCGTTAATTTTGTCAGCAATTCCATATCATCTAAACTATTCAAGCTTACACATTGAATCACATTAATTGTCAAAAGCATTAAGGATGAAAGAAGGACGATTTTCATAGTTAATCTGGACTTGAAGTAAACTCTGGGTAGCAAAGTTTAGATGTAAAAGATTATTTAATCAGATATATAACTAGAAATTACGCAATGATACGATCGAGTTACTCTTATCGATATGACTCCATTCAATCATCTGATAGAACTAAGAAAACACGTTAAAATCTCGCGTAGCAAACTACTGCACCAGTCAAAACTAAAACGCTCTTTACTTTCTCGTCTCGACGAAGGAATGAGATAAAAACTATTTTTATTCATTCCGACTCTTACATACATATCGATCACGATATTTGTAAATATACTACTCGTCACCTACACCCCCTGGTGAGATGTTTTTTTAATTTTATCACGTATTTAAAATTAAAAAAATGATAAAGGTAATTTGTTATCATTAGAAATATTTTATAATTATAAATTATTGCTTGTAAAACAATAAATTATATTCGATTAAGAAATATTGAATGAAAATAATAAATTTGTACTGTAATTATTCAAGATTATGGAAAATAACAATTCTTCTATTCTTCCCTGACAAAGTTGCGTATGTTCTTGCGTAACTACTAGTGTCTTAAGAGTTTATCGTGTCCCCTAAACGCACAAGATTTCCTGCATAATTTATGACCTCATGAATTAATGACCTCTAATTGTAACTATAGAATTATTTATAAATTCTGATATACAATTGCAACGGTAAAATCGCTTTATGTTTCTCGAATTTAGGGACTGCGGGCCTTGAAATTTAATAAATTTGGGGCACTAGCAATAGTACCTAAACAAGAGAGCCCGCTGTCTAAAGAGAAAACTACATTGTCACAAACTGGAGGGAAACTTGAATTACTCTGTATGTTGTAGTATTATCGAGTTTCTTTGAGTTCATTTTTGAAATACAAAATTGACATACTTCGTCATATTCGTATTAATGGATGGATTAAGAAAGATTTTGATAAACCAAATTATTGTAATCAGAATATCTTATAAAAAATGTAACAAAAATATAATTTTTTCTAATTTCTAGTTTCATTTTCAATAGCTTTATTTTAAGTAATATATTATACTTTCATGTTTTATGGACTTAGTCGATAAATATACAATCTTTAAAAATAAAACTATTATCAGAGTACAGTATTAGTATTTAATATTTAAAATGAAAATAATTATATCAATTTAGTCATTAGCTAGGTACAGTACAAGTCAATAATATTATTATATTTCGGGTGACCATCTACAATGATCACTTGCCGCTACCGCGACAGTGGCATTAAAAAGAATTTAAAATTATTGCGCGCACTCGTGCTAGTGACCTTGAACTTTGTCACTTTGACCCCTGATGGTCGTGGACAGGCGATTTTTTTATTTGCCATCATGAGAGACGATCATTGCATGATTGCACTGGCCGAGCACGGAGAGACCTTACATCGTTGTCGATTGTTTTGTTCTTGAGTTTTTTTGTTTTTGCTGTTCATCGTTAGGCACATGTAATGCTGTTATTTTTCCTTCATTTTTACTCCCCGAATTTCGTTAGGTGTTTTTAAATTGCGTCAGGGTACATGAACATGTATTAATCTAAATCAGTGTTTTTCAACCTTCTTGAATACACGACCCCTTTACAAGTTAAAAAATTCTGGCGACCCCCCAGGGCCATATTAAAACTATATCAGTGATTTTACAAACTACGTATTTAATTTTCTTTCTTTAAATATCAATTGTACTGTAAAATAAACAGGCACAGCCTTCTCACTGAAATTCTAATTTTTTTTTATTGTAGTGTAGGGCCTACAAACACTTATCTTTTTTTTCACCTGCGACCCCCCGTGTAAGGCTTTGGGACTCCCCTGGGGGTCGCGACCCACAGGTTGAAAAACACTGATCTAAATAATAGGATGGAATTGATGATGTATGGTATGACATCATTAGAACCATAAAAGGTGTCGCAAATGTGAAAATGGGTAAATAGACACAACCTTAGACACTGAAGCCGTGAGGTCGTTATATATATTTGTAAATTTTTATAGCTTTTTTCTTTCTTTGTTAATATATGTATTTTTAAAATTGTTTTTTTTTTTTTTAATTCAAAATTTGTAGTCTGAAAAGGGATTGGAAAATATTTACCAATCCGAAATGGATAGCTAAATAGGCGAGTAAAGTGAATCATTTTAATCTTGGTCTTTGTTTATTGCGGATAATTAAGAAAGACCTAATAAAGATCATTAGTCTCACTATTGGAAGAAGAAACCTTTACTTGTGAACATTAACATTCATTTTGACTCTGTTGTATCTCGAAAGTTATGGATTTCCATTTTTTATTACATTTTTGGATTCCTCATCGTAATTAATATAGAATGGAAAAGTTCTATCAAAATTGACCGATCAAATTTTGAGAAATTCTTTTATTCAGATATCTTTTACTTTCCCGTATTATATCAATATTTTTGCAAATCTCGACGTTTTAACACTCCCTAAACCAAAAGTCGAAAAAAAGAAGGAAAAAAATTTCCTGGGTGTGTAAAATTATGTGTTGATGTCTATTTCATTCATCTCGGGATGGGGCATTGATGCTATCAAATATTGGAGTACGTAACTCAAAGGAATTCTAATTAATTGTCACAATAGTTATTGCTTTGCTATATTGATTCAGTTTTTCAGTAGTTTTCGTAAGTATATTTAATTTTTTCTGACTTCATACATTTATTCTGGTAAAGGAAAAAAGTATAACAAAAACATATTTGGAAAATAACATTTATTTTAGATGTAATATATAGGCTATTTCAAGAAATTATAAAGTAAGCCTATAAGAAATTTTGAATTTTAATTATAAATAAAAAAAGTAGTAGGAAATTTGATGTAGGCTACTGTAGGCCTACATTCTAATAGTTGTATATATATATAGAGTAAGACCCAGCTTAATGCTGCCTCGCTTAACGCTGATTCAATATAACGCGGTTTGCTTGACACACTGAAAATTTATGCTGATTCAAATTAACGCGGTATTTCATTGATTCGTATGAATATACTGTAATACGATTATTCCCAAACACGAACCAATCAGGAAAAAGTGGCAATTCGTCGTAGCGCTGTACTTTCCTTAAATCTATGTTTGTTTGGTGCAATTTTGGAAAAAATATAACATCATGGATGCCATAGGAAATATCGACTTGGCCTGGCAAGATTTAACTGATAAATACACGAACGGAGTGTGGAAGAAGTTATGGATGAATTATCCAAGAATTCTCATCGAGAATAGCCTATCGCTGTATCGTTACGTTGACAAAATTGTCAACTTAACCGACATAGGAGATGTAGACGAGCAGGATATTGGGGACCAACTTCAGGTTACCAACGAAGACCTTCAAGAACTGGCAGAACAAGGAATTCATGTAGAACTGGAAAATGGAGATTCTGAAGACGAATAACCCAAAAAATTTATCTACAGTTTTCCTCAGTAAAAGTTTGGTAACGATAACCGAAATCGTTGATCAAATTGTAGTAAATGATCCAGATTTTGATAGGAGTGCCAAAGCAAAACGAGGCGTTTTGGATGCGATTTTCCGCTACTGACATTTGCTTAAGGAAAGAAAAAGAAAGCGACCAATGAAACTACACGACTTCATGGCAGAAAACAAGAATTTCAGAAGAGTCAGGACCTTCGTCATAAAAAGTTAACTTTACATTTCTGTGAGCATACGTTTGTGTTATTCAACATATTTTTATATAAATTTTTGCATAATAATATAACTTAAAGTTATAGTAAAATTTGTTTATTTTTTGGTCGCATGTTCCCCTATCCCTATTTACTCTATGTTAATTAAGATGGTCTCGTGTAACGCTGTTTTGCTTAGCGCTTTGTCCTCTAGGAACGCATCCCTCGCGTTAAGCGGGATCTTACTGTATATATTATTATTATTATTAACTTAATGGTTTTCTACTTTATTTTTAATGTCAAATAAATTTTAGTTTTGTGAATTGCGTTTTAAACGCCATGAAATTAGAAAAATGTCTGCATTTCTTGAAGAAAAACAGGAAAAACAATAACAGTAGAATTGCAGGAGGTTCAGCTAATTGCAAATACTATTCCAAGTATTTTTCCGGGATGCCCATTTTTTAGTTCAAATAATTTAAAAATAATTTGCCACAATCTTTAATTAAATTGCCTTATGAACTGATTTTTGTCTTGTATATAATTAAGTTTTCTGAAAGAATCTTGCTGGAACAAAATTTTGATATAACTTATATGAAGAACATAAACATATCTTCAGTAATATGGACATTTTTAAAATTATCTTTAAAAGTTTGATGTAATATTATTTTCCAAAAAGTATTGATAACTGCATTATAAAGGTTTTTGAGTATTTTGGTTTATTATAGTAGTGCAGTTAGAGATATAGTAACAATTTATTATTGTAAAATAGAGAAAAATATTTAATACTAGAGCATATTTTCCAAACAATGATATGTACTGTACAATATTGTATTGTGTAAATAATGCTGTAATAAAACACTAAGTCATTTTTGGGTTTTTGAAAAGATATTATTAAAAGCGTGAAAAATAGAAAATATGATTTAGATTATAGTCGATTAAAGTTACACATAAAAATTTATAAATAAATAAATTTTGTATAAATATTACTAACGTTAATTGCATCTATTAATAGTTTATGATGTCACAACCCAGCCAGTAGGCTTCCCTGTTTATGTGGTATTGTCCCTAGGCACGTTGCCTTACGTTCCTAGTGTGCATAATTTACACAATTGTGAACTTTTTTATTATAAGCTATTATAAATATCGAGATAATCTTAAATATTGGGTATATTTTATTTTATTTGCATTTGATATTAGGGCCGTGTAGAATGGCGGAAATTTAATTGACTAGGAAGGCGATGCGGAAATTGTTCTGAATGAATATTTTTGAGACGTGTCCAGAATCAGCGAGTTAAGCCGATCGTGTTTAAAATGGTAGAAGAGGTAAAAATGACTATTCATTTATTATCTATATATATGCCATCACGTATGGACATTTTTCAAATGAATAGAGCAACAGTAATGATGCAACAAAAACATTACATCATTAGAGAGTTTTGATTTGAATACTTAGCTGTTTAAAGTACTGTACTGTACATTCGTCTCAAATATCTATTCTACTTCATCTCCTATTGAAAGTAATTCTATGTAAAGTAATTCCAAAGAATTTGAATGTTTTATGTATTTGTAGAAATAAAAATAACGTGAAAATTAACACTGAATAAGAAGACTGTTTTAATTTGAGCTTGTATTAATTTGATCTTACAATTGAAACGTGTGT